AACTCGTTTCTAGAACATTCATACATTCACACCATGTACCCTGAGCACCTCTATTATGAGGGATTGGAGACAATTGCTCAGCAAGGCTGACACCAGTATCAGTAATGGTTCCTGAAGCTCCCTGGGGACTGTAGGCAGGAACACCAGGGAGTGGGAGCTGACTCTCAGCTGCCGCCAGCTTGCTTTCCCCTTCTGAGGCTGGGTACTGTCTTCAGCCAAACACAGGGCTCTTGGCTCCCTAACAAGGCCAGGGCCTGGCTGGGTCTGAGGCCCCACATACTTGTCTGACTGTGCAACTTCCTTCAGACTCCGGGGGCCGGAGGTGTGGGTGTGGAGACCCGGGGGAGCTCTGGCCAGATCCATGGGCTCCTGCTCTCCCTCTGCTGGTTCTTAAAGGCGGGGCAGCAGGCGAGGGAGGGGCCAGCTGAGGAACTTACAAAAATGATAGCTGGAGAGACAAAGCGCCAGCAGATCTGGAAGAAGAGGGGTGGTGGGAAGCCCAGCATCATCTGGATGTCCTGGAAGTAGTTCCGGTGCCCTGGAGAGAGACGGGTCAGTGGGCCTGGCAGGACAGCGCAGGCAGGCTCGGGCTGGGACACGGGAGGCCACAGAAGCTTGGGCACTTACCATAGATGTACATGATGGACATGCACATGATGCAGGAGATGACAACCAAGGAGAAGCTGGCTGCATAGTTGTCCATCAGAAGCAACCAGTAGATGCCTGCCTATGGGCCAGGCGGCAGCTGAGTCGTGGATGCCGGGGCGAGGCTCCCCTACCCATTACCCACCCCCTCCATACCCTGGCAACTCCTGCCCAGCCTTTCAGCTCTTACCTGGCTGGTGAGCGGGATGCCCAGCAGGAAGCCAGCCACAGCCACACCCAAAGTCACATAGGTCTTTTTCTGCAAGATCCACTCATTCCCCACCTCATCCACAATGGCCGTGACCAGCGTCTCTAGGAGACAGAACTGCAGGATACCGCCATCAGAGCAGAAGCCTGACCTCTGCCCCGGTCTCCACCCTTCCCAAGCCATGGGCCCGTCCCGTGCCTCGTACCTGCGTGCCCAGCCCCAGCAAGATAAGCATGAAGAAGAAGAGCAGGGACCAGAGCGGGGAGATGGGCAGCAGCGTGAGGGCCTCAGGGTAAGCCACAAAGGCCAGGCCAGGGCCGTGGTCTGCCACACGGGACACGTCCACACCCAGGTGGCCAGCCATGAAGCCCAGGATGGAGAAGATGACGAAGCCAGCGTAGACGCTGGTGGCACAGTTAGTGGTGCTGATGATGATGCTGTCCCTGGCGGGGAGGAGAACAGGTAGAGTTCAGGACTCACAGCATGCTTCCCACTGCCTGACTTGGGCCAAAGAGAAGACTTGGAGACAGGGAGATTTCTAGAAATGAAGTTGCCTCCAATCTGTTTTCTGGTCTGCTCTGGGCCTTTTTAAGAGTGTTTGAGGCTCTTGTGTCAGACCCCCAAGGCACTGCTTTCTCTATCCCTCTTC